ACAAAAATATTTGCCCTGAATTGTATTATTGGTAGTAACTCAACTCTCCATGAGGCTGTTTTGCTCCCAGTAAAACAATTTAACCCGATAAACAATACTACAGAATGAAACGCTCCCTTTACTGAGAAGAATATAACAACATTTATACAGCACTAGAGATCAAATAGGCCCTGGGATTTGTAGGTCCAACCATATTGTTATTGATTTCAGATTTATGAATCAAATTATTTTGGAGTTTCATGCTGAATGTCTCACTGGGACCGACAGAAACTTTAAATGCAGACAGACGTCTTAATATCAGATGATGATTGGTGGACAGACTGGGGACAGAAAGATCTGGAAGTTCCCCACCATGACTAAAATGACCTGTGTTCAACCTAAATCTCAGAATCAACAGGATATAAAGGTACTTCTGCCCTCCCGCCATGTTGGCCATCGCTGCATTAACCTAGTTTATCTAAATAGGCCAAGAGAGAGTATAGAACAGTCATTTTATTTGGATATGGGCTAGTTTGACCCATTCCTGGAAGCCCCTTCGATGAAAAGGGCACTTCCCTTTTACTCTGTGGCATTAGATATCATTATAACCATTTCAGTCCACTTATTGGGTTTATTGCCATAATATATTGTTACTGGACAGACAGTGGTTTCCCTGTGATGTGGGGTGGCGAAACACAGAAAAGGACCTTTAGCTGAAAGGAGATATTTTCTGGTTTCATTTTAATTGAGCCACTTTAAAAAATAATGTGTATCTAGGTCAATGGCTGTTTTCCATAGCCAATCCAATGGAGATTGAGCTCTTGCTTTAATTCATTGCATTTTTATGTTGATGCATTATGATCTTCCAGTGACACTTAGTACACTACTTCAGTTGTGATTATTAATGCCTTATTAAAGGGGCAATCTGCAGTTCAAACAATAACAAAGTGGGTACCCTGTCACTGTTTTAGTGAACAGCTAAGGAATGGGGCTGGGGAAATGTAACCACTCTCAAATTCATTGACAGAGCTATAGATGCAAGGACTGACCATCCATGATATAACAATTATAGTTTTAACCATGTTTGTAGGCTATACATTATTATTTTTTTTTACAAAAATAGGAGTGAAACAAGCTTATATTTTGGTTTCTGATGGGGTATGACAATTGAACTAAGCTCATGAGGTATTTATAAATTATATTCTTAAACAATCATTGGGTTTACATCATTAGTTCAAAAGTCTGAAAATAAATGTAGCAATCACAGATTGCCCCTTTAAGGCAAATTCTCAAGGATCAGAGTTGTTTTCCTTACACATAAAGCATTACAAACAGAATAACACTTAGCTTGATGAATAATAGAATTTGAAACAGGGTTCACTCCGAGTTCAATTCAGGCGTTCAAAGAAACTCACTTTTCATAAATTCCAAGATGCTGTATCTCAGTAGATGAGGTACATTACTTTGGGGTTGTTATACTGAAAATAACCTGTTTTGAAATAATAGGGCCTTATAATGTGTCTGGAACCCATAACTGAAATGAGCGTAGAACTGATGAAAGTGTTGACAAACTAAAAGCAGGCTTGGTACTCAAAGTAAGTGAGATAGGGGAAAACAGTATTATTATGGAGGGGTTCACTCCAAGTTCAATCTGAGCAAGCCAGACACCTTGAAAAGGGCCCTTTGTATGGAACTCAGAGTTGAAATGAAAAATGGAACTGATGAAAGCACAGACAAACATAAAGCAAACAAATGACATGGGAAAAACAGTATTATTTTCCTAGGTTACCAGAACGGTCAATGTGGTACACAAGGGTTTAACAGTACTAGGTTGACAAGAGTAGCCTACTCATTTGGGGCTAGGTGAGAACGTGAACAGATCTATTTGTTCCAGCAGCCTCATGTAGTCTAATAGCAGCGTCTGGCTAAAGAACCACGCCGCACGTGTCTCTGTATATCTTCATCAGAGGATACACAGTGGTCTAATTACCGACCAATGAACAGGGCCGTAGCACCTGTCCACCCCGACCTCGTTACACAAACCCAGAGTTGGAGCTGGTCACAGCGAGGTGAGAGGAATCTGATTCGGTTTCATCACAGAAAGCTTCAATGTGCCCTCGCAGGCTAGATAAAAAGTGGTCAAAGTCAATACTAGTAAAGCAGACTTGGAAAATAGTGCTGTAAAATGTAATAAGTGCTTTAAAATATAATAAGTGCTGTAAAATGTAATGAGTGCTGTAAAATTGTATAAGTGCTGTCAAATGTAATAAGTGCCCTAAAATGTATTGAGTGCTGTAAAATGTTATAAGACCTATTCAGTAGTTAAGTCACTGTAAATATCATCTCTGTTGTATCTACTTATCAAGTATTGTCTTTATTGAGTAGAATTTGATATGCAAATGTAAGGTAGTCTGTAAGGTAGTTTGACACAACTGTTAAATATCACCTGGGGGGTTGTACACAGAAAGACACAGACAGACAGACAGACAGACACTCTTTCACACACAGACACACACACGTACACACACACGCACACACACGCACACACACAGTCACACACACAGTCACACACAGTCACACACACACATGGCCTGTTCACCTGGTCGGTTAAGTACTGATGTGACACACACAAACACACACACACACACAGACACACACACACACATACAAGCAAAAGAGGAACTTAGACTACAGTTTGGGAAGGAAGGAGGGGGACTTCCCCTTGCCATAAATCTTGCCAACCAAACCACAGTGCTGGGCACAGGGTGGCACAGTGCACTATACCATTAATAAGTAAAAGCATGTCTGATTTATAAGCCTGCTGGATACAGGGAACATTGTATAGAACAGACCTTGCTTACAGGTGCATGAAGGGATTTACTAAAATTACAAATCATAAATCTTCCATTAGTGCATGATCTACACTAAATTAGGCCGGCCAGCGTCACATTCAAGTTGAGGAGGTGACACAGAGACCAGGTGGTTGGTGTGTAAAGTGCTGAATGGCTTCTGAGTCACCAACAACCCCCTGCTCTATCTTTAGAATAACCCTATTAGATACCTCTAGGCTGCCTCCATCTGAACACAGCAGGAGAGTCCATACTCATTTGATTGGGAGGACTGCTGCCCCCTGTGAGATGGCCTGCTGCCCCCTGTGAGATGGCCTGCTGCCCCCTGTGAGATGGCCTGCTGCCATCTGTGAGATGGCCTGCTGCCCCCTGTGAGATGGACTGCTGCCCCCTGTGAGATGGACTGCTGCCCCCTGTGAGATGGCCTGCTGTCCTCTGTGAGATGGCCTGCTGCCCCCTGTGAGATGACCTGCTGCCCACTGTGAGATGGCCTGCTGCCCCCTGTGAGATGGCCTGCTGCCCCCTGTGAGATGGCCTGCTGCCCCCTGTGAGATGGCCTGCTGCCCCCTGTGAGATGGCCTGCTGCCCTATGTGAGATGACTGTTTCACTGCCTTGACCTCTGGCCTATCGAATAGGATTAACAGCATAAAAATAGAATGAATAGAACGGACAAATCATTGACTTGAATGGGGAACCTGTTCTATTCATTCTATTTGATGTGCATTTAATCCTATCCGATAGACTGAATCCGGATAGATACCTTTTCAAAAGCTGGGCCCAGAAAATCACAGACAAATATAAAGTACCCAGAGCTCAGCACTGATCATGTGTTACCTGGGTGAAAACTGTGTGAGTTCAGCTAGTTTTAGTTTCCTCAACTGCCAGAGTCAGTCTCCATGCTATCCAATGGTTATATAAAGTGGGTGTCCATGTCACATATGGACTACTAGACTGAGGTTTAATGCAGTTTAGGGTGCAGCAAATTATCAAAATCTGCTGTCACATTGTTTGGAAAATGCAGACATGCTTTAGTGGCCTTAATTTTAGTTAAACATGGAGAAAGAGTCAAGACTCAAAACCCTTTGTATTATTGGTGACTCAGTAGTCTAATTACTTGGTTGATAGGATACATATTAAGCTTCTGTGGATACAAATATAATATGTTGTGTAAGGTGGAGGTCATTTTTAATTTCCACAATTATTTCCTGCTGATTATATTAAGCATTTTACTGTGGTCCTGCGTTGGTGTGTTCGCATCAGTCTGCAATTGCTGCGACAAAACAAATACATTTTCTAGTTCCAGCAGAATGTTTTTATTCTTCTGTATCTCATCCTTTTCATACCGTAGCGCCATCTAGTGGTCTACAAACACGTGGCCAAAATCATTGCGCTGCCCGAGCTATGCGCTGATGGCTTTCATGGCAGCGTACAACAAACTAGACGTCTCGAGAAACATAAACTAGGTGAAGGACGGTGTATGTTCATTTCTTGTTAACGGCGAAATGTGTTATTGACATGAAATGTCAATGCCTATGCAAATTAACTATTATGTTTCGTAGTAGCCTAACAATTTATAATGTTATTATTTGCACACAATAATGCACACGGGCCATAATAATAATAATCACTACCAAGCTAATGACACTATCAGATTGAGTATTTGTCTTGTTTGAGGGTATTGCTTTTGCAAAATACCTTTTATTGCCATGGTGGATAATGCCGTTTTTTGGAACCCCTGAGTCCCCACCGAAAGAGGAGATTGACTATATTATGATTTTGCATTTCTATTTATGAAAACATTTTTGGATTATGGTTATTATGTTAGTAAACATATTTTTATGTATGAATTGAACTCAGCAAAAAAACATGCAAAATCTGTGAAGTTAAAGAAGATGGTGTTGAATATGCGCATTCTCTATGCATGAGTTTTTAGGTAGGCCAATATTTATATTGTTTTACGCAAATAATTTTGTATTTTTCTCTAACCAGTTTATATAATTGCTGTCTGCTTATACATAGGGACTGGACAGACTGACGCAAGAACAAGGGCATAATAATATCCACAAACGTTCTCCCCTCAGACCAACGCGCAATGCATGACGCGACTAGGAGGAGTGGTCAGCATCGCCTATATATACCCAGTCCCGCTCTCCTCTGATTCAGCAAAGCAGCAACGCTTACAAACACACAACATCCCTCTAAACTATTAGGGGTTCAATTCAGCATCTCGCTGTCGCACCAAAGACCCACGTCGGTGCGCAAAGCTTGCAAACACGATCAAGAAAATGTCGCCTTCCGAGAACGAGTTTAACATCCCGGCCAAAAATTGCCACAGGATGGTGATTCTGGGCTCTACAAAAGTTGGCAAGACGGCCATCATCTCTCGATTTCTGAATAAAAAAGTCGAGGACCAGTATACGCCCACAATCGAGGACTTTCATAGGAAATTATACAGCATTCGGGGAGATGCGTACCAGTTGGACATTCTGGACACCTCTGGAAACCATCCCTTCCCCGCTATGAGGAGACTCTCTATCCTTACTGGTAAGCTTAACTCTGAACTAACAAAACAAATAATATGAATGAAAGCAACACTGGAAATTACAGCTACATCGAAATTAAATGTATGGGATTTTTAAAATCATGCATGCAATAATGCTCTATGCAAAACTTGTATTGTACACATTTAGCCTAGGCCTATGTAATTATGGACTTTTTGAGCTGCGATATTAACGTGCCTTCCCTTGCTCTTTCAGGTGATGTTTTCGTCCTGGTGTTCAGTCTGGATAACAGAGACTCCTTCCAAGAGGTGCAGCGCCTGAAGCGTCAAATTTATGAGACCAAGTCCTGCCTGAAAAACAAAACCAAGGAGAACGTGGATGTCCCGATCGTTATCTGCGGGAACAAGTGTGACCGGGAGTTTAACCGGGAGGTTCAGAATGAGGAGATTGAGCAGCTGGTGGTTGGTGATGAACAGTGTGCCTACTATGAGATCTCTGCAAAACGGAACACTAATGTCGACCAGATGTTTCAGACTCTTTTTACCATGGCTAAACTGCCCAACGAGATGAGCCCGGACTCTCACCGCAAAGTTTCCTTACAGTATTGCGAAGTGCTGCAAAATAGCAGAAGAAAATCTTTCAGAAATAAAAAATTCAAAGACTGCGAGGCATACGGAATTGTGGAACCATTCGCGCGCCGACCAAGCGTGCACAGTGACTTAAGGTACATAAAAGAGAAAGCTATAGGCGGCGGACAGAGCAAACAAAGTTGCACCATCAGCTAAGCAATTTACTGACAATATGCAGGAGAATTGTTACGAAATACAGCGATAGGGATGATACCCGCCAGGCTTCTCGCCAGTGTGCGGAGTCCAGGATAACGCAGCACCCCAAGGCGCAGTGACAGCAAGGGGGTGTATCCCAAACCATGCCAGGACACGCCGAGAGGGTGCATGACATGGTCAGTCCGTCAGACATTTCCCTGTGGAGTCAGGACTCTCAAATGTGATGTGGCTTTAGAGAACCTACAGTAAGGTAGTCTCTTCTTGCCAACTACAGGCTGTAAAATCTGCCTCTCCCGAATGGAGAATGGAGCCTTTACCTTGTTTACATTTAGCTATTATTATTATTATTTTTATATGGAAGTTAACTTGAACCTTAATTGCATTATGAACAAATCTATGAATGTATATTTATTATTCTATGTCATCGTTTACTTTTCACAAAGAAAGAAACATGATGAGAAAATAAAAACATTTGAAAACTATATGTCCATGTCTGTCATCCTTTTTATTGTGCTGATATAATAACATTGATGGTAAATAAGCATATTCTCAGACCTTCTCAGTGACACTTCACCGCACAAAACATTAGCTACATAAATAACTTTTCATTTAGAAACACTGAGGAAGAAAGTATGCCTACACCTAACTTATCAAATTCATTTTTTATAAGTATTGCCTATAACCTAACATTAATTTTTGAAGTACACTAAGTCTACAAAACATGAAGAACACCTTCCTAATATTGAGTTGCACCCCCTGGTGCGCCTAGCACCCACTATCACCATACCCCGTTCAAAGGCACTTAAATATTTGGTCTTGCCCATTCGCCCTCTGAATAGCACACATACACAATCCATGTCTCAAGCCTTAAAAATTATTCTTTAACCTGTGTCCTCCCCTTCATCTACACTGATTGAAGTGGATTTAACAAGTGACATTAATAAGGGATCAAAGCCTTTACCTGGATTCACCTGGTCAGTCTATATCAGGGATGGGCAACTGGTGGCCCACGGGCAATGCAGCCCCCCTTTTGTAGGCCTGCAGACCTATTTGACTTACTGTTGTGAGTTGGAATAATAGAATACACAATGTGCAATTTTGAAATGTGGTTGTGCATCAACAGTCACTCAATTAGCCCATGTCAGCTAATGTGTAAGGATGTGAGTACACAGAGCCACGAGCCACTGCGGCCCCTCATGATCAGTGCCAATTTTTTGTGGCCCCCACCCCCATCAAAGTTGTCCACACCTGGTCTATGTCATGGAAAGAGGAGGTGTTCATAATGTTTTGTATTAATGTATTATGTATTATTTATACCTTACATGCGACCCATGATAAGACTATGCAATTAGCCTATCAAAATGTTTATCTGACTCCATAAAATGATTTAGCAATATGCAAGAGACTACAGTTCAGTTAGGCAATCAAGAAATGTCTGAGAATGGAATTCTAAATACAAGTGTATTTAATTACTCTGTAAAAGGAATGGATTCGCATACAAGGCGTAACGCTTAAGTTACAAAGCATTAATAAGCATTATAAGGCATTATTCTAAGCATGATCAGAGAGAGAGAGAGAGAGCAGTAATAGCCTGAAAGGCCATGCCCTAGAGTCCCTGGGGTGGCGAGAGGAAGAAAGGGTGTAGGTATCTCACCAGCACAGATCAGGAACAAACAATAGAATGAGACAATTAAGCTAAGACCCTTTTATAACCATTTGACCATGATTAGATTCAAAATCTGAGTTGACGACCAATAGCATTACTGTAAAGTTAACCTCCAATCAGATATCAGACCTACAGGCTCTATAGAACCTCTGCTTCACAAGAGGTGAGACAATGGGGGATGGCACGATAACACAGAGAATTCTTGCATACAGTGTAAAGAGTCATTACTGTGGACTGCAATGCATTGTGGTCTAGGAAATTAATACATTAGTTAGCTGTAAAATTAACAGCAAATGTTCAGCTAAGATACAGGAGAGTAAATTCCAGTAAATTCCTTTACTTTCTAAGTGCATGCCCCTGTTATGCCCTTTCATAATTGATTATAAAACCCTCATTTAAAGGGATAGTTCACCCAACTTACAAAATGACATATGGGTTTCCTGACCCTGTAAGCGGTCTATGGACAAGGTAAGAAAGCAATCCATGCTTTGTTTAGTTTTTTTACCGAGCCACTGTCTCCAAATGTGAACTTTCTATCACTTTTGTCAAAAAATCTATGCAAGTCAATATCCCTGATATTAGCACCACATAGAAAAAATACTTCACTATAGCATACAAAGAGGCACTAGCGCCAGGTGCAAAAGTAAAGCGAACATTTGGGCCCTATGACATCATCATTTTATCCACCAACAAAGACACTCCCACAAGGGCATGCAACTCTGTGCAGCTGTGATTCTGGATTCTGAACCATTTATCTTGGGTTAAAAATAGATGACTGACAAGAGCAGTTGATGATAATTCTCTACAGTACTAATTAGTGAATAAATTATCATTTCATTTGTATGGATGATGGCATCAGAAGAGAAAATCAGTGTGAATGTGAGATGTCTGGGTGACATGCTCACATCCAGACAGTCTATTCTCGAGACATTACTTTGATAAACCTCCCCATCTACAGTGCAAACAATAAGCCTGCAGTCAGAAGCTACAGTATCTATGACGACAGTAGCACTCGCAATAATTATAATTATTCTAAAAATACCACCTAATTAAGTCTGCCTAGCTAGTCTTGACACATTAATATGAGAGGTTAGTCAGAGCTTCCAAGAGCTTGGTTATTAAAACAAGTTATTGGGTCAATGACGAACAAGGATTTAAAAATGGGCAAAAAATCAAAATGTGTTAAAAATGCTAATTCAAGTTCTTTCTACCTTCATTTGAGTGTTGAATATATATTTCAATAAGTTTTAGCCACCGAGAATTAAATCTATGCATTTTCATGTAGAATCTTATTATTTCTCCCATGAATTCATTCATTGGTGTAACAACAATGGATTTTCAAATTAGTTGATTATTTACCAGTATTAGCATCCAACTGTTTATAGATAGTAATAGTTTGATCTCAACAAACATGTACTGCTTTGAAAATCTAAATTGCATCATAATTAATATAATAAATTTTTTTCTATTTGTTGTATAATCAGCTTTTCTATTTGTTGATTTTAGCACCAAAAATGTCACGCTCAAAAGAAAAAAGAAAAACTGGAGAATTTCTACAAATGCTTTTCTGTAAAGGGGCAACGATTATTATTGTATCCTCAGCTTGACAAAACAAAATTATGTAATATTACGTGAAAAACCTGCGTTACAGCGTCTGACTGTTGCATCGTTATACCGAATGACATACTGTGAGATTCCACATTGGATGATCCTAAAAGACTGTCTCAGCAACAAAGATGTACTTATTACAAACTAATTATAAAATGAGAGGCACTGGCAATCAGTTTTAATCAGCTTTTTTTTATTTTAAGGTAAATGGAGAAAAGGCATATCAGAACTCTAATTCATGAAGTCAAGATCAATTCATTTTGAAACATTGAAAAGTATAAAATGTTGATTGAATAACATTGTCAGCAAAATGTGATGAACTTGGATTGAAAATCTGCCAAATTTGTTTCCCTCAACTCCTCTGGTTTTTCCTCCATTTATCTGTTCTCTTTTCAGCTGCAGAGGTCGTCATCTCCCTAACTGAGCGATGGTCTATGTTCCCATCCTCCTAACGTCTGCGGTAGTTAAACACAATACTAATATAATTGCAGAGATACAGTGCAGGCTATAGTCAAAATTACTTCCATTACATGAATATTTCCTAAATGCTGTTGTAAGCAACCTTTGAGTAATCGCCAACAGCTTAGTCTGACACTCATATGCTGTATTGAAGATAAAAGATCTAGCCTATACTGCAAATGAGTGTGAACCTAATTGAACTTAGTATTAATTCAGGTTTGCTGGTTACTGAACTGCACTTGTCACTTAACTGCATGACAACTATAATACCGTACTTTCCTGCTCAAAAGCCACTCTTCCCTAACTAGAGGTTCTGGGTTCTTCCAGGTCCTGAACCATGCAGCCCTCTCTTTGTTGGATAGAGGCATCTATAAGGACAGATATTCCCTCAACATCAAAACTGTACTGATAAAGCATTAATACAACATTATGATAATAATTAAGTGCTGATGACTTGAATTTAATAATAATAATGAGTATGTTGTCATTATTTTTGTTTTTCACAATGTAATAAATAAAGACAAAATATACCTTAACACATAAAAATACATAAATATGTTATTAATAAAACATACACATATACACTACATTCCCTAAAAGCTTAAGTCCTAATAACACAAAAAACGAGATATGTGTCATGCGGAGTAACGGATGACATTGAATGAAATCCCAATGTAGGGACAAAGGTCTTTCAAGCATAAAAATGTAATAACGTTTAGGATCCTCACCATTATTTTATTTATCAATACAGATACCCTCAAAATTATGCCAGAGGAGTTTATTTGATTTGTATTGTTTTTGAAAAAACATTTTTTGAGCATTTTTGCATATTGATTTTAGCTGTGGACAGTTACTCCGAATGTCACGGATTCAGCCGAGGCTGCTCCTCCTCCTTGCTCGGGCAGGCTTCGGCGTTCGTCGTCCCCGGAGTACTAGCTGCTGCCGATCGATGTTTCGGTGTTTGTCTTGTTTGGTCTTTATTGTTTTCACCTGTTTCCCATTATGTTGGATTGCTTTCCCTATATTAACCCCTGTCTCTCATTTGGTTATTTTGTGTGTGATTGTTCGTTTGTCATTCCGGCAATTCCTTGTATGCACGGGTCTTTGTGTTTTCCTCTGTGTTTTGGAGGTTTGTTGTTTTGTACGTTTATTTTACTGTATTCAGTAAAGAACGTTGCCAGTCGCTCTGAGTCCTGCATTTGACTTCTCTACCGCATACACGTCGCGTGACAGAATCACACACCTCGACATGGAGTCAGCAGGAGCGGCGGTGCCAGATGGATCACTGGAGGAGCGCGTATCACAACAAGCGGCCATGATCCAGGCTCTTGGCACCGCCATGGAAGGGGTGATGAACACCTTGGAGCGATGGGAAAGAGGAGGTTTGCCCACACCTCCTCCGAGGATACCACCACCATCAGCTATACCCATCGCCTCACCTCCGGAGTCCAGTGGGATTCGGCTCTCGCTCCCGAGGGCTTATGATGGCACCGCGGCCGGGTGTCAGGGTTTCCTGCTCCAAGTGGAACTCTACCTGGCAACCATCCACCCGGTGCCCTCGGGACACGAGAGCATGTCTGCCCTCATCTCCTGTCTGTCCGGCTAGGCACTGGAGTGGGCAAACGCCGAGTGGGGGGGAATAGACGCCGCCACAGTA